GATGTTTTTGTTTTTGTTCCGTTGAAGTGACTTCTTCAGAAGTGGTGGTTTTTTCAGCAACCGATGCTGTTTTCTTTTGCTTTCGTGACTCCTCTATTTTAGAAGGAACATCTTCCATAATAGTTTCTTCGGTAGTAGTAGTAACTGTCTTCTTCACTGTTGGAATACGTTCTACTGGTGTTGTCTCTTCTTCTTCGGTGAGTGTTTGTTTTGGAGCTTCAGTGATTTCATCGACAGTTGTAGTTTCTTCAATTGTTGAAGTCGTTTCGACTGGACGTTTTAACTTTGTTTCTTCAGTAGTGACTTCTTCGGTAGCTGAAGTTGCCACATTCGGCTTTTCTTCCGATACTTCTTCAGAAGTGGTGGTTTTTTCAGCAACAGATGCTGTTTTCTTTTGTTTTCGTGACTCCTCTATTGTAGAAGGAACATCTTCCATAATAGTATCTTCGGTAGTAGTAGTAACTGTCTTCTTCACTGTTGGAATACTTTCTACTGTTGTTGTCTCTTCTTCTTCTGTGAGTGTTTGTTTTGGAGCTTCAGTGATTTCATCGACAGTTTTAGTTTCTTCAATTGTGGAAGTCGTTTCGACTGGACGTTTTAACTTTATTTCTTCAGTAGTGACTTCTTCGGTAGCTGAAGTTGCCACATTCGGTTTTTCTTCCGATACTTCTTCAGAAGTGGTGGTTTTTTCAGCAACCGATGCTGTTTTCTTTTGTTTTCGCGACTCTTCTATTTTTGAAGGAATATCTTCCATAATAGTTTCTTCAGAAGTGGTAGTGACAGTTTTCTTCACTGTTGGAATACGTTCTACTGTTGTTTTCTCTTCTTCTTCTTTTGTGACTGTTTGTTCTGGAGCTTCAGTAGTTTCATCTATAGTCGTAGTTTCTTCAACTGTTGAAGTCGTTTCAACGGGATGTTTTAGTTTTTCTTCAGATGAAGTGACTTCTTCAGAAGTGGTGGTTTTTTCAGCAACCGATGCTGTTTTCTTTTGTTTTCGCGACTCTTCTATTTTTGAAGGAATATCTTCCATAATAGTTTCTTCGGTAGTAGTGGTAACGGTTTTCTTTACTGTCGGAATACGTTCTACTGTTGTTATCTCTTCTTCTTCTACTTCTTTGTTTATGACTTTTTGTTCAGGAGTTCCAGTAGTTTCTTCAACAGTTATAGTTTCTTGAATTGCTGAAGTCGTTTCAACGGGTTGTTTTTGGTTTTGTACTGTCGAAGTGACTTCTTCGGAAGTGTTAGTTTGTTCGATAACAGATGCTGTTTTCTTTTGTTTTCGTGACTCTTCTATTTTTGAAGGAATATCTTCCATAATAGTTTCTTCAGAAGTGGTAGTGACAGTTTTCTTCACTGTTGGAATACGTTCTACTGTTGTTTTCTCTTCTTCTTCTTTTGTGACTGTTTGTTCTGGAGTATCAGTAGTTTCTTCCACAGTTGTAGTTTCCTCAATTGTTGAAGTCGTTTCAAGAGGATGTTTTACTTTTTGATCTTCAGTAGTGACTTCTTCGATAGCTGAAGTTGCCACATTCGGTTTTTCTTCCGATACTTCTTCAGAAGTGATGGTTTTTTCAGTAACAGATGGTGTTTTCTTCTGTTTTCGTGACTCCTCTATTTGAGAAGGAACATCTTCCATAATAGTTTCTTCGGTAGTAGTGGTAACAGTTTTCTTTACTGTTGGAGTACGTTCGATTGTTGTTACCTCTTCTTTTTCTTCTTCAGTATAAGGCTGTTCAATAATGGGTTTATCAGTAGAACTTAACTGTTCGTCAGTCGTTGTAAGAAATGGTATGTCAGAAACAGTTTTTTCTGTCTCAGTTACTTCGGCTGTTGACTGAGCAGGTCTCTGTTGTACAATTTCTTCTGTTGTTGTCACTTCTTCAATAGTTGTAGTTAATGCGTTTGGTTTCTTTTCTACAACTTTTTCAGTAATAGACACCGTTTCTGAAGGTTGTAGTGTCTCTGGAATTTTTTCTTCTGTAGTAGTAGTAACAGTTTCAGTAAGTGTTGGAACAGTTTTTGGTTGTATTATCTCCTCTTGTACAATATCAACATTTTCTTTGTTTGCAATAGATACCTCAGTACGTTCTATTTTCTTTGGTATCTGTTGTTCAACAGTAGTTTCCTCTTCAATAGTAGTTGTTATTTCTTGCACAGGTTTATTTTGTATAATCTTTTCAGTAGTTGAAGTACTTTCAACAGATCGTTTTGGCAGTTCTTCAATTGGTACCTTCTCTTCTTCGATATTTTCCTCAGTAGTTATCGTTTCTTTAATAGTCGTGCTCGAAACTTCCGGCTTTTCTTCTAGAAATTCTTCAACAACCGGCCCCGTTTCAGTATGTTTTTGTGTCTCTTCTGTTTTACGAGGTACATCTTCTTGGATTAATTCTTTTGTGTCAGTGATAACTTCTTCTGTAACTGTTTTCTCTACATTTGGTTGATCAATAGACGCTAGTATTTGCTCGAGATATTCTATTTGATCTTTAAGCGTAGACGATGATTTAGGAATCTCCTTTTTTGTTTCTGTCACTTCTTCAACGGATTGAGTTACTGTTGGTGTTTGTTGTTCATCAGTACTCTTCGTTTGAACAGTACTTGTTATTTGTTGAACAGGTTTTTGTTCTACAACTTGTTCAATAGTGGTAACTTCTTCTACAGTGGAAGTAGTTTCAACAGGACGCGTTCGTTGTTCTTCAATAGTTTCTTCTGTAGTCGTTACTTCTTCTATAGTTGCAGTCGGTTTCTTTTGCACAGTTTCTTGTGATACACTCTCTATAGTAGCAACTATGTCTTCCATAGTTGGCTTAGTATCAGTGATAGTCGTAGTTTCTTTTTTAATAGTTTCTTCAATAGTTGGTTTTTCAACAGTAGCCAACTGTTCTTCGAACGTTTCAATTTTTGTAGTTGTAGTGAATGTTTCAGGAACATTTTCATCTACTTTAGTCTCATATTGTTTTGGCTGAGTTACTATTGGTTTCTGTTCATCAATAGTTGTCTCTTCTTGAATAGTTGTTGTTGTTTTTTGACTTGGCTTTTCTTTTGTATCCTCTTCAATGGTTGAAACAGTTGTAATAGGACGTTCAGATTGTTCTACAACTTTTGGTTTTTTGTTTTGAATGAGTTCTTCTGTATTCGTTATCTCTTCAATAGTTGTAGTCGAAGACTTCGGCTTTTCCTTAACAACTTCTTCAGTAGTAGTAGTTTCTTCAACAACTGAAGTAGTAGTCGTAGTGTTAACTTTTTCCTCAACTACTGAAGTAGTTTTCTTTATGGATGGTTGTTGAATTGAATCGAATTGCTCTTCAATATTCTCGGTTTTTTCTTCAGTTCTTGTAGACGATAATTGAGGAACCTCTGTTTTAATTTCTGTCACTCGTTCAACGTATTGAGTTACGGTTGGTGTTTGTTGTTCGTCAGTACTCTTCGTTTGAACAGTACTTGTTATTTCTTGAGTAGGTTTTCGTTCTATAACTTTTTCAATAGTGGTAACTTCTTCAACAGTTGAAGTGGTTTCAACTGGCGCTGTCTCCTCTTTAATAGTTGTAGTCGATGATGTCAGTTTTTCTTCAACGACTGGTTTTGTTTCTGTAGGCTGTTCTACCTTTTCTTTTACAGATGGTACATCCTTCTGAACGTTTTGTTCTGTTTGTTCAAAAGTTGACTTTTGAACATCGGATTTCTTTTCTGACTGTTTTTCGATTATGTTTTCTGTTGTTGTGGTTGTTGTTGTTGTTGTTGTCGTCGTCGTCGTTTCTTTTTGTTCATTTGATTTTTGTAGAGTAGAAACAGGTATTTCTGGTTTCTTTTGATCAACTGATACAGTAGTAGTAATCTGTTCATCAGTTTTGTCTATAGATTTAGGTTGTTCATGAGAACTTGTCACATTAGTAGTAAAGCTAGTCTGCAAATATTTTTGTAAATTCGATAGTTGTATGTTTTTCGTTATTTCAAATATTACCTTTTCATCTGATTTGTCAGTATTTATTGTAACGTCAAGGTTTTGTTCTTTAGTATCCTGTTGTATTTGCTCGTTAACAACAGTCTTTTCTTCTGTTATAACCTGTGAAGTTACTTTTGGTTTCTGAATTGATTTCGTTTCTCGAGTAGTTTCGATTACGGTTGATATCGATGACTAGAAATATGTTATGTTTGTTTCGAAATATAAATACGTATTTCATTCGATATTTTTTTACATGCGTATATATATAT